TTTATTAAATGACACAAAAAGTTACATAAAACTTAAGAACAGTCCGGTGTGCACCCTCCAACAAAAGGCGAACAAGCTGGTTTCGGATTTAGCTGCTTCTAAATCCATAACAACAGAAGTTGCAAAATCCTTGAAAATTTACAATGCAGTTGCACCCAGGTTTTATACACTGCCTAAAGTTCATAAACCCACTATTTCAATGAGGCCTATTGTATCTTCCATTGATGCTCCTAATAGTAAACTTGCTAAACACCTTACAGATATTCTCACAATTTCCTACAATGAATCCAATGAATTCTATATTAGAGATTCTTTTTCATTTAGTAACTTCATTAACAATGTTAAAGTTCCAAATAATTATATATTGATTAGTTTAGATGTTGTGTCACTGTTTACAAACTTACCACTAGATGCTATTCTTAACAGCATTAAAAATAACTGGAACAACATCTCTCCACATACTAAGATCAGTTTAGATGATTTCATAAGAATTTTAACATTTATATTTGATTCTAACATCTTTGTATTCAATGGTAATTTTTTTAAACAAATTTTTGGCACTCCAATGGGCAGTAAAATATCCCCCATACTATGTAATTTTGTTTTGGATGAACTTATAACAACATGTAAAGAAAACATACCTTTTCACATACCATTTATTAAACGTTATGTAGATGATTTGATTCTATCGGTCCCTGAAAACAAGGTAACTGATGTTTTAAACACTTTTAATGCCCAATGTGAACCTGATAATATGATTCCTTTTTTAGACATGCTAATCCATCGTGGCAATGATGGCATGCTAAAGACGGAGTGGTATCGTAAACCTTGTTTCAGTAACCGTTTCATAAACTTTTATTCTCAACATCCATCTAAGATGAAAACAAACTTGGTTATGGCTTTAAAAACTAGGGTTATCAATTTGTCACACATAGAATTCAGAGACAAGGGACTAAAAAAGTTGAGATCCATACTACAAGAGAATTCTTATCCCATAGGGCTGTTAAATAAACTCATTTTCGGTTCTCCTTTTCCTTCACAAGTTTCTGTCAACCAAAATTTTCATAACAATGAGATCCGACAATTGACATTGACACATAACGCATCAATATTACCATCTAAAATAACTTATGGTTGCCTACCCTATATTCCATTTTTGACACCTAAGCTAATGAACATCTTTAAAAATGTTAGTGGCTTAAAAATTACAACCAAAAATGTGAAAACAGTATCGAAGCTTTACACAAAGACAAAAGATCCTTTCACAATACAGGAGTCATCGAATGTTGTTTATTCTATACCGTGTAGTAACTGTAATAAAATTTACATAGGAGAATCATCTCGTAATTTTCACAGCAGGGTGATATCACATCGCAGTGACATAAAAACCAAAAAAATCAATGCATGTGCATTGACAGAACATGCACTAACTCTAAAACATGAGTTCAAGTTCGATGATTCCTGTATTTTGGCAAAAGAAAAGAACCATTTAAAACGTGTTTTTTTGGAAATGTGTTTCATAAAATCTAGCACATCTTGTATCAATAAAAAGTCCGATATAGACAAATTAAGTAACATTTATTGTTATTTACTAGAAAAACACCGAAAATAAAATAAATATTTACCTGTACAAAAATTACACCTCTGTATAATATGTTGCATACCATTAAGACAGGTTAAAAAAAGTATAGACACCTAAGAAAGGAATCTAGTATTTCTTGTAAAGAAAGATAACACCAATTTACACCTAATTACATATTAATTACACTGTTTTTTCTTTCCATTCTCTGTATGAGTTAATATACACCAGTAAAACATGCCATCAATCAAGTTTTACTATTTTTCCAACAAATATTTTTAAAAATTTTATGATGTATTTTGTCCATAATTGTATATTTTAATGTGTGTGGTATATTTTGTGTTGTATATTTTAATATAAATGTTGAGTGTTCAATGCTTTCAAAAATAATCTCAACGACTAGTAAGTTACACTGAAGTATTGTGATATTTTTTAAATATTTACATAATTGTCTTTTACAGTGTCTTGAAAAAGGAATAAAACCATTCCGAAAGCTAGACAAAAATTCAAAAGAGTGTTTTTTTTTTTTTTTAACATCCCGGCCAATATTTCTGACTGCAACCCTAATAAACTGTGTTGTTTGTTTATATCGACAGTCAATAATATCCAGTATTTCTTGTATATATATATATATATATATATATATATATATATATATATATATATAATATATATATATATATATATATATATATATTACAATTATTACAATAAAAAAAGGACGTTTTTTACATTTGGTCCCATGTATATATATATATATATATATATATATATATATATATATATATATATATTTAAATATAGGGTGATCCAGTTTTATAGATAAGTCTATGGTATTTAATTATAATTTAGAGAATATTTTGATCGTAAGAGTCAATAATGTTACAGATCTAAGTATGGTTTTTCTCAGAAATTTGTCTTTTAATAGTAGATCATATTCTTATTCTGATATGATCAATTTCTTGAATCTAGTTTTTTTTCTTACCAGATACTTTGTATAAATAAGTGTGTACTTACAATTTCTTTAATGCTGGATTCTCGTTTAATTTTGACAGTGAGTTTGTCCTATTTGTTATCAACAAATAAAATTTACTAAAAAATACTGGATTTCTGTGAGATAATCAACAAATCCAATCTATTATGTTACATTCTTGCACAATTTTCAGTTTTCTTGTGATGATCTACAACCAGGAAGAACAAAACCAACTGTATCATACAATCAAACTAAAACACAACATTACTTTACTAATGTTCTTTTATTGTGATGAAAACAAAACGGAAATGCTTCTTAACAAGTATACACTAAATTTAAAAGATAGTTGCCGTTTTTCTTATGATAATTAGATATAAATAACATACATTTATAAATTTATAAACACTTTAAACTATATTTAGTATATATTATCATATAGAAAAATATCACATTAAATACTATTCGAATATCACCAAGTCCAAGTTATTACAAACAACTTAAAGCGAGTCAGAAATCGATTTATATGTTAAATATTAGAGGAAAATAATAATAATAAATAAATTTCACAAATGTCATTAGTGTAAACATGTCATAATTTAGTGGAGTAAACTTGCCCGCGGTTTTTACCAATTGCAAACAAGCATTACGGCGCGGAAAATTTGAATTACTCCTCCTGGTTAAAAAACAGACCATATACCTAAATCGTTCCATTGCACCCTTTGTTCATTTTCCCATGCGTGTTTACATATTTGAGATCTATCAAATTCTCTATTTTTAGTATAAGAATTATGTTCACTTATTCTAACATTTATTGGTCTTGATGTTTCACCTAAATAAAAATGATCGTATTCACAAGGTATTTTATAAATACAACTCTTTGTTCTTTCTAGTTCAATGTGTTTGTTGTTTTGAATGTTGTTGAAATGTTAAATTCGTTTCCTATCGTTTCTAGTTTTTCTGATAATACTTTTATGGATTGTATAAATTGTATTGTTATTTTTCTCGTATTATTTCTTGTGTATGCTGCAGGATCTCGTTCTAAGTTATTCTGTTCCATGCGATTGACTGTTGAAAATTCATTATTTATAAACGATAAAGGATAATCATTTGTTTAAAACAGGTGTTAACAAATGTCTCTCCTCTGATTTTCATAATAACAAGTAATTTTGGCTCTATCGTATAAGGATTTAATAATTCCCTTTTTAATATTTATGTTGTGATTTGATTTGTAAGTTACATATCTGATCTGGTTACCCGTATGTCAATAAAAGGAAAATATCACTATTAGTAAGTCAGTAACATATCGAGGATACATTATTTATGTTTTTAAATAACATACATATAAAATCAGAGTTTGATGTTTATTCAGAGTAAACTAAATATACCAAATACTTACATGTTGGGATAGTATTATTCTCCACTATCAGGAGAATTTTACTGTTATCATTGCATATAGTTGTCTTTTTAAAGACGAATCACGTGCTATGATGCTTCTGACGGATATTCTTAAGTTAAAGTTGATTTCATGTAACCGAAAGAACTATCTTACAATTAAGTCGTCCCAGGACCCGCGGTACCACCTAACAAAATAAAGTCCATTGGCGGCTAGATTGATGCGACGATGCTATTTAATATTTTTCTGAAGCTTTTTCTTTTTGCGTCTTAATACAATTTACTATTTTTATTTGGAATAAGCTACAATTTGACTTCGAATTAAATTTTTTTGACGTTTTGATTTCCGAAGTGGAAATCAAAAAGTTAAAATAAATTTGTGTCTTATTCTAAAATACAATTGTGGCTTATTCCCAATAAAAATGGTAAGCCATTTAAATCAATTCGCCCAAATTGGATTGTCTTAGCACATGTTTTGAAGTCTAAAAAATAGGAAAGGTCAAATAAAAACAATAAATTTGGCAACAACCAAATCTCTCGTCTTGAATTACTCCCACTATTCAATTTTCAAGAAGGTATTTTGGGGAACTAATATCGCTATGTCGTTTTAAATATGTTTCTATCACTTCCTACCGTTAAAAGCTTAAATTCTTTCAGACACTGTATAAATTTGGAGCTCCGTTCTTTTATAAGAAGTGGAGTTATGGAGCTTCACTGAAGCATCACTATATAGAAAGAATTACCAACGAAGAAGTTCTACACGGAAACGGGTAAAGAGCGCGAACTAGTCATAACCATAAAACGTCGCAAAGTGGAATGCCTGGGCCCTATAATCCGTGATGATCAATGATACATGAAAACATAACATAAAATGATAACAAAAGAGTTGGGTTATAGTGAAAATCTCTATAAGGCTATGCAGAAAGCGGTATTGCTTTGGATGTCCAGATGCGTTCTTCGAGGACGTGCGACGGATTTACGAAGAAAATACACATAACACACAACTGTTTTTAATTCCATTCAAAAGCAAAATATTCTATCATGTTTTTATTTTAGGTGGTGGTCTTTGAGAGAGCAGGATTGGTATTCGTGTTCAACTTCCATCCGACCAAAAGTTTTGCAGACTACCGAATCGGAGTAGAAGTAGAAGGAAACTACAAAATCGTTTTGAGTTCCGACGACAAAGCTTTTGGAGGTTTCGACAGGATCGACAAATCAGTTACTTTTGTAACCACCCCAGAAGGATTTGCTGGCAGAAGAAATTATGTGCAGGTATTATACTCTTTTTATATCTATAGGATTTTCTTTATCTCAACCAGAATACACAAAGAAATCCTTAAATAATTGTACATATAAATATAGTAGATTATTCTCTTTAAAATATTATTATTAGAACCACTTACTTTAATATATTGTTGATAATAAAAAATATATGTTGAGTTTACCGAAAGTACAAGCTGAATATAGTCGCAAATGTCAAAAATATTTCGAGTCAAAAGAAAAGGCAAAAAAGTATTTTTGAAGTGTGTATATTTTTAATATTTTTAATAATCAGTCTACCTCCTCACAGCAAACAATGGTCGGGTTCTTACACCCGTACCATGACAAAATTTTTTTTAAATTTTTTAATGTGTCTGTGAAGTCCAGTGTCGGTTTTTTTGTATGTTTTTTAAGAATTTTTAACAACTAAGTAATTAAATAAAAAATCAATATTTCAACAAATAAGGAAATGAGATCTCTCCATTGTAGTGGTATTTATAAATTGACCATAGCTCCGATGATGGCTTTGTAAAGCCGAAAGCGCTCAGCTAGGAATTATTAAAAATATACACACTTCAAAAATACTTTTTTGCCTTTTCTTTTGACTTGTCATAAGTGTGTACAAAAAACATATCAGTCTTTTGATTGTTAAAAATATTTCGGTTTGGCAGTGTTGGCATATTTTTATAATGCATATTTGTATGCTTCAAATATAAAGAGATAAAGCTATTAAAAGCTAAGTTTTAATTTATATGAAGCAATAACGAGTAGATATTTGACTCTTTCGAGATTAATTACAAACATCTGTTGTAATCTGGCAACTGCTGATTTGACGATTGCCAAATCTATCCCCTAGTCTGTCAAAAGGTAATTGCTAAAAAAATGTCTAATAATTAACTGCAATTAATCTCCACAGAAACAAATATTTGCTTATTGCTGTTTTATATAAATCAAAAATTGCAGAACTCATAACATAATATAAACAAAATGTACTTTTCTAAAGCTTTATCTTTTTATATTTGAAGCATACAGGATCTACATTATAAAAACATGCCAACACACTGCTATACCGAAATTTTTTGTTCCATGTTTGACATTTGCGGCTATAATCAGCTTGTACTTTCGGTAAACTCAACCAAAATAAATGAAATGAGGTTGAATGCTCGAATAAATTAACTTTGAAAATAAGGCTATTATCGAGCACAAGTTAATTAAATCTAGCCCAAGTACTTTCGCTTAAAATAGCATCTTCAGGGGCATCTGAAATAAGCCAACAAAACGTTTTTTAGATGAAGTAAATTAGTTAACTTCGATAAAAAACTCGAAGTTAATGGATGAAAAAAAGTTTTTTGAGATTAACGTTTTAGACTTACTTCGTCAAAATGTAAACTATCCGGCAAGCGTAGAATGTGGAAACATTAAAAATAACATAAAATTGTACAAAACACTACACTAAAACGAGGATAAACAGTTTAAAATTACTTAAAGATTCTACGCTACATTCTCTGTCAGTATCTGAAGGGATAATGATCTAAGCGGAAATGATACGGTGACATGTGACATATGACAACTTTGATAGGCAGTCAAAGTTATGGATCTGTGATCAGCAAATATTAAAATTCTGTATAAGTTGTCATTGGCCAAAGGTCCAACTAGAACTACTGAAAAAATCAGCTGATGAAGTATGACATATAGAATATTTTGATTTAAACTAGATTGCATAATCCAGATCTCACACCCGTCTGTAATAAGGTTGTAGGTTTGAGGCTAAATGAAGGGTACATAAAGTGTGAATGAAAGAAATAGACCAAACGATCTATTGGACAGTGGGTAGTTGACTACAATAAAATGGTCTACCAGGCACTGTCAATACTGCAAAACGAGAAGAAAATTGACTATGAAATTGAAATATTAAAATTAAATCAGAATTGAAAGCAGTGTGTAAATGGGTATAGTTCAAGTAGTTCAGTTAATCCTCAAGCCAATGGGGGAACTATAAAACTAATATGTAATAGCATTACTAAAGACCAACTGACAAACAGGTGTTGAAATATAAAACTGTGGAATTAGTATATGTAGATTATGCAGAGATATGAAGAGTGAAATCAACTCCAACTGTGGATCAATTGAATCTGAGCAAGCTAGTTGTGTAAATTGTTAAATACAATAGTAATGCTGAACAGAGCTTGAAATTGGTAGATACTTAATGTATAAACTCAGTGCAGGAAGTCTAGACAGCCGAGCTGGGTACACTACGAGGTGAAGCTGTAATAAAGTTTTTAAAAATAGGTTTAAATTTAGTACAGTTTAAATTAATTTGAGTATTAAGACAATGAGAGTTTCCATGCGTTTCCTTTGTGATCTCCAAATCTTCCAATAGATCCAACTCCAAATAGTTTTTCTTTCTACCGATGTCATGCAAAATAGATGACCCAGTATTGATGTTGAAATTGTGTTCTCTTTTACTTATATTAGTAACATTTCTAATAAAATAGCTAAACTTTTTACTTCTGCAGTTAAAAACATCAAAATTTCCTTTAAGTCACACAACACTGTAGGTTCCTTTTTAATTAACACCAAAGACAGGCTGAACACACTTGACAAAAGTGGTATTTACAAATTAAAGTGTGATGATTGTGATGCCTCTTATGTAAGCAGAACCATTAGAAAGCTATCTACTAGAATATCAGAACATTTAAAAAGACCAAACTCTTCAAGTTTTGGTCAACATTTAGAGTCTAGCAAACACAATTTCAACATCAATACTGGGTCATCTATTTTGCATGACATCAGTAGAAAGAAAAACTATTTGGAGTTGGATCTATTGGAAGATTTGGAGATCACAAAGGAAACGAATGGAAACTCTCATTGTCTTAATACTCAAATTAATTTAAACTGTACTAAATTTAAACCTATTTTTAAAAACTTTATTACAGCTTCACCTCGTAGTGGACCCAGCTCGGCTGTCTAGACTTCCTGCACTGAGTTTATACATTACGTATCTACCAATTTCAAGCTCTGTTCAGCATTACTATTGCTGAATATACACTGAATATACACATACTAATTCCACAGTTTTATATTTCAACACCTGTTTGTCAGTTGGTCTTTAGTAATGCTATTACATATTAGTTTTATAGTTCCCCCATTGGCTTGAGGTTTAACTGAACTACTTGAACTATACCCATTTACACACTGCTTTCAATTCTGATTTAATTTTAATATTTCAATTTCATAGTCAATTTTCTTCTCGTTTTGCAGTATTGGCAGTGCCTGGTAGACCATTTTATTGTAGTCAACTACCCACTGTCCAATATATCGTTTGGTCTATTTCTTTCATTCACACTTTATGTACCCTTCATTTAGCCTCAAACCTACAACCTTATTATTACAGACGGGTGTGAGATCTGGATTATGCAATCTAGTTTAAATCAAAATATTCTATATGTCATACTTCATCAGCTGATTTTTTCAGTAGTTCTAGTTGGACCTTTAGCCAATGACAACTTATACAGAATTTTAATATTTGCTGATCACAGATCCATAACTTTGACTGCCTATCAAAGTTGTCATATGTCACCGTATGATTTCCGCTTAGATCATTATCCCTCCAGATACTGACAGAGAATGTAGCGTAGAATCTTTAAGTAATTTTAAACTGTTTGTCCTCGTTTTAGTATAGTGTTTTGTACAATTTTATGTTATTTTTAATGTTTCCACATTCTACGCTTGCCGGATAGTTTACATTTTGACGAAGTAAGTCTAAAACGTTAATCTCAAAAAACTTCTTTTCATCCATTAACTTCGAGTTTTTTATCGAAGTTAACTAATTTACTTCATCTAAAAAACGTTTTCTTGGCTTATTTCAGATGCCCCTGAAGATGCTATTTTAAGCGAAAGTACTTGGGCTAAATTTAATTAACTTGTGCTCGATAATAGCCTTATTTTCAAAGTTCAACCAAAATATACTATATTGTGTGTTTTATATTTATATACTATAATGATTATACGTATTTGTGCTTTAATGTTTTTGTACATTTATGCATAAAAATTGTATAGGAAAAAATGGTCGATTTTGGGTATTAAAAGTCATAAAAGTTATACACTATATTTGTGGCATAAATGTCCGATTATTTTTTTTTTATTCTTTAAGGTAGCGCTAATTATTAAAAAAAAAAACATATTAACGAAACGAATTTAAAAAAAAAGTTCACTAGTTAATGACGCCAAACTCAACGGTTTTCGATATAATCTCTTCGATGCATTCATCAATAAGTTCCAGAAAAGATCGGCTGATACTATATAACTAGAGGTAGTGCAAGCACTCCTGACCACGGCGCAGTAGACGAAATTTGGTTTAGTCCCCACTTCCATGCGAAACGCATTGTACAATTGCACTGTATAATTCCACTAACAATAGAACCTTTCTGCCTTGACTTGAATTTTAACTCCGCCTTCGCGCAGCTCCATGGTCAGGAGTGTTTGCACTATATTTACATTGGTTTAAAAAAACTGCTGCTATATTTATTTCTTCCCAATGTTAATGTTGGAAATAAATTGTGGATTTTTAATAAGGTCTTGAAACTATTTTCTTGATCCATTTTTATATTAACTACTCTATTTAATGGGAATAAACCACAATTTTAATAAAACTACTTTATATATGACGTTTCTATTTCCACTTTTGAAATCCTACTTTTTTTACTTGAAAAAACATCTACCTAATTGTTTTATACATAATGACAATTCCGACATATCTTATACATTTTAAAGTATATGACACACCTTGATAGACTTATTGGAATGAGAAAAAGAGGAAAATCCAGAAAAATATAGATTGCACCACACAGTGTTTTAAAGATAGAATGATGGTGATAATGATAAAGAGAAATTCAAAATGGTTAAAATTGTCAGCATTTTGTAGTACGATTTAGGGCGACTTTATTGGGTGATGAAATCAATTTAAACTTACAAAAATTTGTCAGAAGAAATAATGGTATGATGATGATAAC